TCGATTCCTGGTCAAGGGCATGTACCTGGGTTGCAGGTTCCATCCCCAGTCCTGGTAGGGGTGACTGTAGGGGGGCAACCAATTGATGTGTCTTTCATATGGATGTCTCTCTCTCTTCCCCCCATCCACTCTCTCTAAAAACCAATGGAAAAAATATCCTCAGGTGAGGATTAACAAGAACAAAAAGAATACCAGCTGAGTAGCTAGTTAAGGAAAAGGCAGAGGGTGCAAGTACCCCAACCGGGGAAAGACTCTCCCCCACTGCCTTCCTGCCACCTCTCCCTCATTAGCTCAGCTGGGCAGGGAAAACTTGCTGCAGTCACGTACCACATAATGATGTTTCACTCAGCTGCATACGTGACTCCCCTATTATAATGGAGCTGAAAAAATCCTGTATCGCCTAGTGATGCTGTAGTCGGCATAATGTCGTGGTGCAACGCATTCCTCACGTTTGTGGTGGTGCTGGTGTAAACCAACTGCACTGCCAGCTGTATAAAAATATAGCACATATAATTATGTACAGTACATAATACTTGGTAATGATAAAGAACTATGTTACTGGTTTATGTATTTACTACACTATTGTTAAAGAGTTTGCTGTAAGACAGTGTTATGCTGGAAGCAGCCTAATGCATCTTGTGTTTACCGTGTCTCTTGATTGCATCATTTTCTCTTGTGGTTGATTTACTCTCCTGTTTTGTTTTGTTTTTTATAAATTTAGTGTAGCTTAAGCGAACAGTGTTTACAAAGTCCACAGTAGTGTGCAGTAATGTCCTAGGCCTTCACATTCACTCATCACTCGCTCACTTCAGTCCTGCAGGCTTCATTCATGGTAAGGAGCACCAGCAAGGTGCACCATTCTTCATCTTTAATACCGTATTTTTACTGTACCTTTCCTGTGTTTAGGTATACAAACACCATTGTGTTGTAGTTGCCTACAGTACTCAGTAGAGTAACATGCTGTATATAGGTTTGTAGCCTAGGGGGAATGCACTATATACCATATAGCCCAGGTGTGTAGTGGGCTCTACCATCTAGGTTTGTATAAGTACACTTTATGATGTTCACACAGCAAAACTGCCTAAAGATGTATTTTTTTTTAAAAAGATGTATTTCTCAGAACATATCCCCGTTGTTAAGTGGTACATGACTGTACTGAGGTTGATCTGTAGTCAGGGAGTAGATACCATTTTTGCCAAGGAGATGTAAAAAATTTCAGTAACACCCTGAAATGGTAAGACTTTGATATTTTATTAAGAAACATCTTTATTTTAAATGATAGTACAAAAAATGTATATATATAATATAGATCTGTATAGGTGTATATACACACAAATGCTCACCCACACACACATACACACAAACTTGCTCATCAGAATCAAATCCTATTTTATTAAAATCCTAAATAAAAAAGAGAAGTATATTTAAGTTTTCCTAAAACATACTGTACATAAAGCTGTCAGACACCCTGAAAATGGAGGACATTTTAAGAAGTATCTAGGCACCCTACCCACTGTCCTTCTCTCTAACCCCCCCAATCCCCAACCCCACTCCTGCCCTGTCCCAACATGAACGGCCTTGGCAGAAGGACAGTATACAGGGCAAAGCCAGAGAAGGGAGCTGCTATCATTATTGATAGAGCAAGATGGCCTGAAACCAACTAGGAAGCACAGGATTATAGGGTGTGACTTAATTCTCAGAAACAAACCACTTCAGAATAAACAGAAAACATGTAGTAGGGATAGAGGGGAGTGGAAAGAGGAAAGGCAGGCCCAGAAATTAGAAGGGCCTACTAATTAAGTTCTAGTTCCTGGGAAGGATGATGTGATAAGAACAATGGGGTCACAGAAGCAGAAGTAGTTATAGGGGAAAAGGGGAGGCCGAGAGATAGGAAATCACAATTTCCTGCCATTAACAAATCAAATTGCTACTAGAGTCTAGGAATGTCACCCCACCCTCTAATCCTAGAGAGGCTCAAAAATAAAATAAAAGGCAGTACCAGAGGCTCAAAGCTACTTAATTTAAATTCATATTCTTCTTGCTCAATATATTGCCATAGGAAATAAGAGAATTCACTCAGAAGGGGAAAATATTCATCACATAAAATGGAGATAGGTTAGGTAAGAGCCCAGAGCAGCATACTGGTGATCTTGACATGTATTCCATTCTTAAGCTCCTTTTCCGGCCATACAGAGATGTCTGTTCAAGGAGGAGAGAGGTGTACGAGACTGTATAAGTGCCAGTCAAAATAGCTGCCATAGGAGTGGAAAGGATGCTCTGTGGAAGGGCGGTTCCATCTCTACCTCAACACTGCTCTGAATCTTTCAGCTTACATGGTGTCATCACACAAAATGCTAAACAAATCTCTGTAAAGCCAGGTACTGGTTCTCCCTGGGGTCTCACTCCTCGGGTTTCTCATTACTGCCTGTTAGAGCACACCTCTCAGAGAAGGGCCAAAGCAATGCTTTTTCTTCCTCAGGCCCTTTAGCGAATCCAAAGAAACCCTGTCTCATTTCATCTAATGAAATGAAATATTTCCAGGTTATACCAGGTACTTGAGAGTTGAACCTCAAATAAAGAGAAAAGTGAGAAAATCCATATATATTTATAAACATACACATTAATATACACCTAGCAAAGGCGCATTAAAAATACCCTGGTCATGCTTGCCCAGAGTGGCCGAGCGTTGTCCCGTGCACCAAAACGTTGCTGGTTCAATTCCCAGTCAGGGCACACACCTGGGTTGTGGGTTCAAACTCCAATATGGGAATGTAGGGAAGGCAACTGGTTGATGTTTTGCTCTCACATTGATGTTTCTCCCTCCCCTTCTTCTAAGCATGTCCTTAAGTGAGGATTAAAAAAAACACACACCCCAGCCTTGGCCAGTGTGGCTCACTTGGTTGGGCCGTTGTCCCATGTACCAAAGGTCACTGGTTTGATTCCCAGTCAGGGCATGTGACCGTTGCTGGCTCGATTCCTGGTAGGAGGCGTGCAGGAGGCAGTTGATCGATGTTTTGCTCTCACATCAATGTTTCTCTCTCTGTATCTCTCTCTCCCTCTCCCTTCCTCTCTTTCTAAAAATCAATTTTTTAAAAAAAGTGTATATCTACACACACACACTTCTATCCATCCATCCATCCATCCATCCATCCATCCATCCATCCATCCATCCATCCTTGATCACATGATACCTAACTTCAACTGGAGAGCCCTCTGGTAAACTCATTTATTTACATCAGCATAAAGAAAGTAATTTTGTATGCCACGTATTTCTAACATTACTGAGCAGACATACAAACTTTAATAATGCAAAGGTAAGGCTGAAGAAGGGGAAAAGGCAAAGACAAAAATAACTGAACACAGATCTGACAGAGAAAAAGAACATCTTTTAAGGCACTGAGTTCAAAACATAGAAAACCTAACACCAAGTTCTCCAATACTTCAGTTAAAAGACCTCAACTCTGGCATTACAATGAAGAGATCTCACAGAGGTAGTGATAGTAAGAGAATGTACACTTATACATTTATAAGTAATTTTCCTGAAGCCAGAAACAAGAACAGAAATGTTAAGATTTTTCTTTTCTCTACTTGGGGAATAGGATTAAGATCAAAACGCAAAGATCGAGTATAAAAGTCCTATGTTAATACTGATACTATTAAAGCAGCTTTACTTTAACGTTAGGCAACCATCCTAGGCTCCAGGTCTCTTCTGTTCAAGTACCAACTCTGAACCACTTGTCTGTATTTGATTCTCTGTAACCCAACCTTGCCAAAGGCGAGGTGGAATCCCCTAACCCAGAAGATCTAGCAACATTTTCCCAACTCCCATGGCTGATCCCGAAAGAAATGCAAAAATCATAAAATGGTATTGCCATTAATGCATTTAGTGTTTAACTTCTAACTACTTCAAGGGATCCTGACTTACCATTCTCTCTACAGCAACACAACTGGAGACCAAATCTTATTTCCCTTCTCTAGGATGCTAAAAGGTCTATTCCAAGTAAATAGAAACAAATACCTTTTTGCTACCCACCCCTTTCCAGACATTTCCCTTCTTTCTCTCTCCCTATCCCAACCTCTCCTTTAATCCCAATCTCAGGGACCCCATCATCAAAAATGACTTGGGCTGTATTCAAGATTTTTTTGTGTATAGGAATGATAGCTTCCTATAGAAAGATAATAAGAACTGATAAACAGTTCTCCAAAACAGTAGGGACTCTGTATGCTCAAAAGGGAATGTTAGATAGAAACTCCCCACTCCCCACTCCAGGAAAGGAAAAAAAGAATTAAAGTCAACATATACGCCAAGAACACAAACAAAACACATCTAAAATGACACTTGGTCCATCTATAGTTAAGCTAAGGCTCTGAAATGGCACACAATAGCAGCTTATTGTTAGCACCTGGTTCACAAAAGGACTTAGAAAAACATACACTGCATTTCTCCATCTTCCCCAACAGCCCAGAGGAATCTCGAGCCGGCTGGGAAGTGCTCAGTACTCATGTCCATGGGGAAAACCCAGCCAAGGTGGCCAATTGTCAAGATTAATTTCAGAACTGACATTTTTGCCTAGAAGCCTCTAATAGCCAATTCTGTTTGTGAAATTTAGTTTGGGGATTTGTGCTTTCAGTTTACTTTGAGCCCCAAATGGTTTTTCACCTCTAGAAAATTGTGGCAAATCACTTCACTAATCAAGATAAAGAGAACCATATTAACTGTCAAATTTTATTCCAAATTAAAAATGTATGTTTTCCCCATGATCGCTAATTAAGAAAACCATATTCTAAACAGTAATTCAAATGTTTACTTGGCACATCTCCCTCTGGTTTCTTCTTGTCATTTACAACAAAGCAAGCAAGCAAGTGAAGAATGATGAGGGCCCTATTTCAAAGGCACAACCTCTGTAACGTAACCTCTCCACCACCTCTCTCTCCATCCATATTTCCCCTTCTTTTGAAAAATCTCCAAACTGGCACACAAAGAAACCAAGCGATGAAACACTTTTCAAAAGTGTCTAGGCAAAGGGGGCAGGCATAGTGGGAGAGAAGGGAGTAAGGCAGACGAAGCATCTTGCCAGAATCTTTGGTTCCTTACTCTAGGCACTGATAGTTTTTATTCCCTTCGCCAGGACACACTGAGAGCCTATAAGGCACAAAAGCTCTGCATAAGGTTCTTCCTTAAGGAAACAGGGCAATCTACTCATCCCAAATCAAATGCCAACAAAACTACACAACATCTTCAACATTCATCTCTCCCTCCCCCTTTCTTTTATTGTATATAATAGGATACCATGTAAGCTCCACAGAAAGGCACACTTAGAAAGCTCAACGAAATTTTATAAAATAAAGAATTGCTATTAAAGCTTGATATTACATAAATTTTTGAAAGCAAGTTGTTCTAACAACGGACTACCATCCTGATTGCAATTTTGTAAAATCCAGCCAGAGCAAAGTTTGCATCTCAACAGCAGATTGTTTCATAACCCCAACAAGCCTCTTTTTGGCCACTTTCCAGCATTGTGAAAGCACAGCCTGGAGGATTTTGGATTTATATACACTTCTCCACATAAACTAGTTTTCTTTCCAGTTTTCAAAAATTATATCTCAGTTTCTTAACTGGCAGCTAAGCTATGGACACACAATGGATGCAAATTTAGTCAGGCAATCACAAATTCCTTTTCAGTGAAATCAACTCAGGATAGTGGGGAGCACCTGATCCTTTGGAAGTGGAATATATTCTTTTCTCTTCCCCAAAGCTTGTTCCTAACTTCCTTCCCAATTAGTTTTCTTCTGTAACAGACACCATCATAAATCTAAGGCAATGTCTCTGGTCACTTGACGGTACAACTATTAAAGGATCTGGGTGGGTCCAATTAGGAATGTTATCTTAAAAAATCTTTTGATAGGAAGTAAAATCTTTTGATAAAAAGTCAGTTTTTTAAAAACAATCAACCTACAACATGCAGCATTCTTTTACCTCTTATGTTTAAAGCAGTGATGTCGCTAAGAAATTTGGTCCTTATTTTTTTGGCCTCTCAGAAGAACTGTTCCCTAAATTTGGCTTTGATTTTTCCAGTTGCATAGAGAGCCTTCCTGAGCCCAAGCATTGTACCCTGTTACAGTTTTCTTCTTAAGGACATTCTTAATTTTAAAACAAGGTTTGTCCTCTGCATTTTCTTTTAAAAAAAGAGGAAAAAGATGGACACAGTACAAACTGTGGCCCTTGTGCTTTAAGAGGAAACAGTTTCCATGGAAACTCCAGGGTGAGGCTCGGGGGTCCCTCCAGCCCCAGTCGCTTCCGTCCCTCTCTCTTCCATCTCCCCCTCTGTGACTACTACGGCGTCCACCTCGGCCACCTCTTCGAGCACAGCGAAGTCGACGCCGACCCCGTTGGGCTGCTGCCGGGCCATGGCCTCCAGCTTGAGGCGGTACTGCTCGGCCTCCTGCTCCTTCTTCAGCAGCTGGTGCCGGTACTCCTGCGCCCTGCGGTTGGCCTCCTGGAGCTGCTGCTGCAGGAGCTCTCTCTCCATGCCCTCCTGTGGAAGTAAACGGGCAGCCACCAGGTAAGAGCTCCGATAGCAGGTTATCCAGAGAGCACACAAAAGGGTGAAAGGGTTCAGGCCTTAGAAGTTCTGGCTTTTCTTTCTTCCCCCTCTCTTCCCTCCACACTGCTAAAAACGTTACCTTGCTTTCCTCCACACTGTCTGCCATCTCTTCTACCCTTGGTTTCTTCGTCAATGGCAACTGCAACTTCTCTGCTGCTTCTTCCTCTTCTTCTTCAATTATAGTCTCCTCTGCAACCTGACCAGCAGGTACAGTTAGAACTACAAGCCAAAGGACATCAATTGGAGGTGATGAATACATTGTAAAACAAAGAGGGTTTGCTTGCTTTAAATGAGAAAATAAACTAAAATGTATTCTTTGAGATCTTATTTTTCATATGCCTTTGGAATTTAGAATCAACAGGTTAGTCCTGACCCTGCAGAGAGAAACAGAAAGGATTAGAGAGGCACTAAGAAGGCCTCTGAAAGGAAGGGTGGAGACTGACAGGTTTGGAAGCCATGCAGTTAAGACCCAGGTCTGAGACTCTTATATAAAGACGTAAGGATCTATGACCAATTAGATATAATTCTGTAGGAATAACTTGTCTAAAGAATGCTTGATGTCTTCACATAAGATTTTCGTTTGCATGTTTCTCTCTCTCCCCCTCCCTTTCCCTTCCTGTCCAAAATCAATAAAAAATAATAAATTTTAAAAATTTCCCTGCAGATAATTCACAAAATCTCAGCTTTTCTTTTTTTTAGATTGATTTTGGGGGGGGGAGGAAGAAAGAAAGGGGGAGAGAGAGGGAAAGAAACACTGATTTTTGGTTGTTGTTCCACTTATTGATGCACTCATTGGTTGATTCTCATATGTGCCCTGACTAGGAATCGAACCTGCAACTTTGGCATATCTGGACAACATTCTAACCAACTGAACTACCCAGCCAGGGCTAAACACATTTTTTAAAAGTAGTGTAGTCCATCCAAGTAAAGCCTCAAATTTTATTTTATTTTGAAAAATATATCTTTATTGATTTCAAAAAGAGGAAGAGAGAGGGAGAGAGAAAGAGAAATATCAACGATGAGGGAGTCATTGATCGGCTGCCTCCTGCACCCCCCTACTGGGGATCGAGCCCAAACCCCGGGGAATGTGGCCTGACCAGGAATAGAACTGAGATCTACAATGCTCAACCACTGAGCCATGACAGCCAAGCAGGTTTTTTAAGTTTTTTTTTTTTAATCCTCACCTGAGGATATTTTTTTCCATTGCTTTTCTAAGACAGTGGGGCGGGGGGGAGAAGGAGAAGGAGAGAGAGAAATATTGATCTGAGAGACACACATCGATTGGTTGCCTCCAGCATGGGCCCCAACTGGGGCCAGGGATTGAGCCTGCAACTGAGGTACATGCCTTTGGCTGGAATCAAACCCAGGACCTTCAGTCCACAGGCCGAAGCCCTAACTACTGAGCCAAACCAGCTAGGGATAAAGTTCTTTTTAATGTTTTTTACTTATTTTTTATTATTGATTTTTAGATAGAGAGGAAGGGAGAGGGAGAGAGAGAAATATCGATGAGAAACATCCATCAGCTGCCTCCTGCATGCCCCCTACCAGGGATCGAGTCCAAAACCCAGGTATGTGCCCTGACTGGAAATCAAACAGGCAACCTTTCAGTGAACAGGAGGAGACCCAACCAACTGAGCCACACCGTCCAGTGCTAGAAAAAGAACTTTTTAACCAAAAGGTATGTGCATCATTAATAGTGATAGATATTGCCAATTGCTCTTTAGAGGATGCATTAATTTACTCACTGGTGATTTATTAGAGTGCGTGTTTCTCCACACCCTTGACAACATAATGTTACAGTGGTATCTCAGTGCAGTATTTATTTACATTTCTCATGCTATAAATGAACATATTGAACACATTTTCAAAAACTATCAGTATTTTCTTTTCTGTGACCTACGGTTCATGTTATTTGCTCTACCAGATTATGGTTTTTATTCACAAATTTTATATATATTAGGGAAATGTGCCTTTGCCAGCCTGGTTTCTTTTTCTTTTTCAGAGCTTTTTAGCCTCATTTGGCATCTGGCATTCTCCGATTCTCACTACTCACCTAATATTGTCTCATTTTTACAGGAAAGTTGAGTGTCTAAAACATCTTTTCATAAACAATTGTCTAATGTGATAACTCACCTTGTTGTCCATCTTGCATAGTTACAATAAATGGCTGGCCAATGCCTCCAGTAGGGATTGCAGTTTGGATATTACCCAGAGGCACTCCATCGGTCACTATGGTGATCACCCTTTGGCCTCCACTCCCCACCACTTGTTGGATTGATGAGTCAACAGAATTTCCTTCTATAATTTCCTCTGAATTAGCTAGAGATGGCAAAAGTAAATTTAAAATTTTAGCTTTTTTAAAAATAGAAGTATAGTAATTTCAGCCTCCTTGAAATTGATAATACTGAGGATAGGAAAACTTGAAAAAGTCAGATTTAACAGTGTACAAGAGCAAGCTCTGACAATACTAAGTCAGAGGAGAAAGAAATAAAGAATGCATTAAATGTATTTTCTAAAAAGTTTTCATTGAGATGTTAATAGCTTTCACTAAAGATGTGTTCTATGTACAAATATATTCTCAAAATTCTGGTTTAAACATGCTTAGACTTTTTTGTTTGTTTTGTAGGAAGTATCAGAGACCCCAACAAGCTAATGAGCACTGTGATTCTCCAATATGGGATAAGTAAGGTATGAGTTTCCCAAACATATTTGATCTTAAAACACTTTTTTGCAGGAAGCATCTTGAAAGTCAAAATCAATGGAGCTTAGAAAAATAACTATAAGTTAGAGTAGATCTATTTCTATAAGAAAATAGAGGCATTTAATAGTGAATTAACAATATGTTGTCAGAGCATTAAAGAAGTTTGACAGACAAAAATGATAGGTGGTTTCTTCCGTTTGACAGATCAATAATATTAACAGCAACTAACACTGATTATTTACTATGTGCCAGCACCTTTCTGAGAAGTTTACATGTATTATGTTGAGTCAAGATTTTCAGTTTGGTTAGTCAATGTCCCCAATAACTATTAGGGGAAACAATTCCTACCACTATGGAATTCCTCTACCTAAAGAATCACAAGTAGAACTTTGCAATAAGTGGGGTATGGACTATCCATATGTGATATATCCATGTAATTCAACGGAAATAGAGCATTCACACCCTTTAGCAACAAAGAACAGTTAAACGTTAATAGCTGAAAGGACCCTAATAATCCAACCATTATGCTTGAAACAAGGAAACTGAGACCTGAAAAAGAAACATATTCAAGTTCAAAGAGCAAATCAAAAGAAAACAAACACAAGTTTAATATATTGCTTCACTTCTGCCATGCTGCTCACCCATACACATTTAAGTAGAGGTCTTTTTGATTGCTGCCAGTTGGAAAAACAGGATTGGAAGAATGTTCTCACTACCCAAATGTCAATGGCAGAAAGAAATTAGAACAATCTGCTTTTGTTTTGGATGGAGTACTCTGTAGAGGGTTCCAGAAAGACTCCTAGATGACTATTTAGCCCTACCTACAACTATCTGCCCCTACCTATATGAAGCCCTCGGCATTTTCCCAATAGGTCACTATCTCTAAGTGAGTTAAAATCTTTTTGTTTTAAATATCAGAACTATACAGCATGTATCTGCCCAATTCCATTGCAAATACCAACAGAACACCTCCAGTGGAAAAAAACCCAAACCAAGTTGAAATACAAAGGATGTGACAGTGAGAGAGAGAGGTAGCAGTCCCATGTATTTTGATGCTTTAATATAATCCAAGCTAGCTTGGCTGCTATTTTGAATCACTATGATAGCATCAGTCAAAACATAACAGAGTATTTCCAAAAAGTCTGCTAATATAAGACTCAATATTTCAACCTGAAGCAAGTGGAGTCAGGGCAAACAAAATCAAAGGAATAACTTAGTCATTCTCCGATAGAGTTCAGCCATCTGATTATATCACAGTGATTTTTCTGATGCTCCATGACTCTACATCCTTTTTCCTAGCTGTTTCTAACCATAATTCTTTAATATTTCCTGCAAATTAAATCTGCTGGAGATTTAAAAACAAAAGAGGAAATGGTGATTCAACCAGCAGATATCCCTTACCTACCTGTGGCTCTGTGTGAGTTGGAGAGGGGAGCTGATGCCTCAGCAAGAGCTGCAAGGGTGGCCAGCACTGAGGTGGTAGAATTTGAGAAGTGTACTGTTGAGGAGGCATGGGGGTCACCTATTTCAGTAAAAAAGGCAAATGAGGTCGAGCAGAGAGAATAAACTGAGATGAACTAAAATGAATTGAGATGTCTTATTATATCAAAACCTCAGCTTTTCAGTCCAAGGCTCTTAATCCTGATCTCTAATACAAACTGATTAAACCAATTATCACGGTGTTAAATGTCTTTTTTTTTTTTTTAAATATATCTTTATTGATTTCAGAGAGAGGAAGGGAGAGGGAGAGAGAGATAGAAACATCAGTGATGAGAGAGTCATTGATCGGCTGCAGCCCGCAACCCGGGCATGTGCCCTGACCGGGAATCGAACCCTGATCGCCTGGATCCTAGGTCGACGCTTTAACCACTGAGCCACGCCCAGACAGGCGTTAAATGTCTTAAGATTAAAAAGTTTTCCCTTTAAAGTGGACTGAAGTAATATGCTTGGGGTAGGGCCACACATTCCCTTCATTTGCTTATCCTCTGGGCCAGGCCAACGCTGAACATTAGCAGCTAACAGACCAAGAGTGCCGTGCACTCCCTAGGCTGGCTGTACAGAGCTCTCCGTGGCAGGAGGCAGTAAGCATATGAAGTATGCCTCACTCCAGCTAAGCAGTGATGAGGGGAGAGGCCCCTCCTGGGCTTTACTTGACCTACTACGTTTACTCATCAGCTAGATAGGAGAGAAGAATAGGACTGACCTCTAGTGTGGGAACAGTTAAAAACCTGAAGTTTCACATATTGAATATCAAAGGTAGCACAATCAAGTAATGCTAAAAAAAAATAATCATCTACTTTAGTTATGTCATGATATACTTTAAAAAAAAATAGTATATAACTAAACATTTTATTTTATTTTTAATTTTTTAAATATGTTTTTGTTGATTTCAAAGAGAGGAAGGGAGAGAGAGAGGGAGATAGAAACATCAATGATGAGACAGAGTCATTGATCAGCTGCCTCCTGCAGGCTCCCCACCAGGGATCCCGCATGTACCCTGACTGGGAATTGAACCATGACCTCCTGGTTCATGGGTCGACACTCAACCACTGAGCCACCGGCTGGGCATAATGTGCTTTTAAAAAAAATTCTGTTCATAACTTTTTTGTCTTATATCTGCTATATATTTTTTAATATATCTTTATTGATTTCAGAGAGAGGAAAGGAGAGGGATAGAGGGAGATTGAAACATCAATGATCAGCTGCCTCCTGCAGGCCCCCAACTGGGGATGGAGCCTGCAACCTAGGCATGTGCCCTGACTGGGAATTGAACCCTGATCACCTGGATCCCAGGTCGACGCTCAACCGCTGAGCCATGCCCAGCTGGGCTATATCTGCTTTTCTTACAACTAAGTTCTAAGAGGGAAGTGCATTAGATCTGGCAACAGGCACGCCTAACTTTATGAACTAAAAGTATTACTCAACAGTTTTGCATAAATCTAACTTTTATAAAATGAATTGCATTTCCATATTTCAAAGATATTTATTGTGCCAGTTATAAATTTATTGCCTCAGTACCAAATCCACCCTTCTTTGCCCTTCCTTGTGATACTGAAGCTGGACTCCATAAACATTTCTTGTCAGCTGGCATGAAATTAAGTTTTGTCATATAGAAGTAGTGGATGCTCCCTATTTTGTTTAGTCCTGTATTCTTTAGGGTTCTCCATTCCTCTTAGTAGTTGATCCACTCTTACTAATAATTCTTTATAAGTTATACATATAAGTTTAGAAATTATATACACAAAATGTATACATACTTTGAATAATTATTAATTCCAATGGGTTAAAGAAAGAAATGTCAACTGAGCTATCAGCTGTTAAGTATGCAAACACCTGCCCAGCCAGGTGTGGCTCAGTGGTTGAGCATCGACCTAGGGACCTAGGATCCAGGAGATCGAGGTTCGATTCCTGGTCAGGGCACATGCCGGGTTGTGGGCTCAATCCCCAGTTGGGGGCGTGCAGGAGGCAGCTGATCAAGGACTCTCATTATTGATGTTTCTATCTCTCCCTTCCTCTCTCTGAAATCAATAAAAACATATTTTAAAAGAAAAATACTTAAGGACACTCCTATGTAACACTCTGTAATAAATCCTCCCACAGAGCGAAGAGTCCTCTTCTGATGTGATTACTCTAGGTAACCTAACTTATTTATAAATTTAAATTTTAGAAGGTTTTCCTTTAAAAGGTGGATTACATATGTAGTACTCCTCATAGCTGCAAACTATCTTAATCAAAGCTTTTGGATGATGACTGTAGGAGTGGACATAGTGATGATATCTCTATTTTATTCTAATTATCATAAAATACTCGGGGAACCAAATGGTCTGAGTGGAACACAGTACTTGACCTCCAGAAAGAAGCCCATGTCTATTTAATGACTTCATGCAGCCTATTCCCTAGATCCAGCCTATTCCCTAATTTTTCTGCTTAGTTCATGCTTTTCTCATCACCCAGCCTATCATATCATAACAAATGCTGACATAAGAACTAACAAATGAAAACAACAAGGTACAAGTGACTTTTAGATATATGTATACTCATGAAAGTTGGACTATATGTGATAGTCACTAGCAATAAAAAAACAAGGCTGTTATATTTTACCAGAGCATTAATATGATGATCCCAACCTAAGGGTGCTCTCCGTTTTGTTTTGTTTTTTAATCCTCACCTGATAATATTTTTTCCCTATTGCTTTTCAGAGGGTAGAAGGGGGAGG